ACAATAATAATAGTAATAATAATAACAACAATAATAATAATAACAACAATAATAATAATAACAATAATAATAACAATAACAACAACAACAATAATAATAACAATAGCAACAACAACAATAACAATAACAACAACAACAATAATAATAACAATAATAACAATAACAACAATAACAATAATAATAACAATAATAACAATAATAACAATAATAATAACAATAATAACAATAACAATAATAATAATAACAACAATAATAATAATAATAATAATATTATATATTATATAATATTATATTAATATAATAATATAATATAATAATAATATTATATAATATTATAAATATAATAATAATAATAACGGTCGAAGCAAGTTAAGAGAAGGAGGAAGTCACCTGTGGTCCCGATGTTTCGCATTTTTGCCTCACCGTCGTTGTTCCAATGGCCGCTCATGATAAGGGCGGGGAATTTTATCTTGATTAAGTTTCGTTCATCGATATCGATAGGGGATTGGCCCCATTTTCGGCCTCCAGAATCGCCTTCAACAATGAACGTCACGTTGGACGAGGTTAAACGAGGGGGGAGGGAGTTTTTTTTTTTTTTTTTTTTAGAAAATTTAGAAATTTCTTACCGGCGCACTCCATTTCTTATATTATCATCATATCACATTATCCGTCTTCGTCGATACGTTGATCATTGCGCGTAATTATTCCACGATTTATTTGCACAGTAGAGCGTGGTGGACATTTTCAACGCGCATTTGAACTTTTTTAATTTTAACTTCAACCTAGTCTAAATGAAAACGAGAGACGTTTATTAGATATACATATATACCGCCACCAGCTATCGAGATGAGAACAATTAAACCGCGTGGTGTTCAAGCGTGAAGTTATACACGCATATATATATAGATACATGCCCGATATTATCCGTCGATCATTTTGCTCGTTCATTTTTCCTGATTAATAACCCAACATGTTAATCTTGTCGAACGTTTTTTAAAATTGTCAAGTGAAAATTCTTGTACTATCTGTTGTCTATCCATGTATCGAGACGCAACGCGATCGAACAAGTTTCGGACCTTCGTCAGTGTATCGCGTCGAAGATAATAAAGGGGGGACGATTGTTGATAAAAATGATAAACATTTCAGTTTCGGAATTCATGATACTATGTAGCAGTGTCCTCCTTATTTGTAAGTCGATTATTAATAATAAATCATCTTCTTTAACCGTAGAGAATATATCTAAATTTAATTAAATTTAAATACGTCAAACATCGCGATACCTGGTTACAGTTTTACTACTGACCGAGGTCCTAGATTGGACCCAATTATTTCCCTGGGCGGAAGAATGCAATTTTCCACGGTACACGTTCGGTTACGCGGACCGCAACGGACCCCACATGTGGAAACTGTTGTATCCTGACAGTAATGGTGGCAATCAGTCGCCTATCAACGTCACAACGCAACTCGCCATTGTGGTGCAACCGTCCGAACCTCTTCGATGGAGCGGCTATGACAAAGGACCATTATCGATGACTATAACCAATAATGAAAATAACGGTGCAATTTTCCATCACCGGTTCAATAAGCAAAATTACTTGTTCCATTCGAGTCGAAGCGAATTATTCAATCGTGTCGATTTTTCTTTCCTTTCTGTTTTTTTTTCACGTATTCGAAACTCTGTTATTCCACGCTTTTATAACGCGTATCGTTATATATCGATTTCCAGTGGTACTGAACACGATGTGGAACAGCTCGAGTCGACCGTACATCCAAGGTGGATGTTTGACCAACGTTTACGACATCTGCTCCATGGTCTTTCACTGGGGCCACTCGAACGAGGAAGGTAGCGAGCATACTTTCGATTATGTTCGATTTCCTATGGAGCTACAAGTGTGGCACATAAAACGTGGCTTCAACTCGTTGTTGGACGCGATCACGGCTAAAGAAAACGACGGCATATTGATCGTGTCGTTCTTCTTTCAGGTTTAATCCCTCTTACATTGATCTAAAAATATGTGATATTAAAATAAGAAAAAGAGAAATATTTGTATAAAATGTACGATATCTATCGATATTGTAATATTATTATAGATTACGAACGCAGACAATCCTTATTTGGACCACATCGTGACAAATCTGTGGCGGATTATTCAACCTGGAACAAAGGTGCACATTCCTCCTTTCCCACTGTTATGGATTTTTCCAACTTTCGAAAGGGATTATTACACGTACAATGGCTCTTTTACCCAACCACCGTGCAGTGAAATCGTCACGTGGATATTGCAACCTGAACCGATTGCCATATCGTCGTCTCAAGTGAAGCGATGTTCCATCGTTTAATTTATTAATATAAATATATTTTGTTTGTTTACCTTACAACCAAATTCCATCGTAGGTTGCTCAATTTCGAAAAATCTGCTCACCAGACGGCCCCATTTTGTTCAACTGTAGGCCCGTTCAACAAGTGAACGAACGTAGCGTTTATTTTTACGCATAGCGCACATATATATATATATATTCGTTAAGTAGTAAGCTTTTAAATTTTACGCGTTTTACGTGCGTGAATATGTAGAATCGAAATGTGTGATCGATTCCGTCTTGCATCGAAACATTTTTTTTTTTAAACTTGTAATCCATACGTGTAAAGTGATTTTTTTTTTTTTTTAATTAAAAATTAATCAGAAAGCGAACGTGTTGTTTTTTTTTTCACTTCTTACGACGACACGATAGAAATTTTCCATGCAATGATAAAAAACACAATTTACAGAGAGCAATTATTTTATTTTTCTACTATATATATATATATATATATATTTTTTTTTTTTTTTTTTTTTAATTAAAAATTAATCAGAAGGCGACCGTTTTTTTTTTTTTTCACTTCTGGCGGCGACTCGATAGAAATTTTCCGTGCAATGATAAAAAACACAATTTACAGAGAGCAATTATTTTATTTTTCTTCTATATATATATATATATAGAAGAAAAATAAAATAATTGCTCTCTGTAAATTGTGTTTTTTATCATTGCACGGAAAATTTCTATCGAGTCGCCGCCAGAAGTGAAAAAAAAAACAACAGTTTCGCTTTCTGATTAATTTTTAATTAAAAAAAAAAAAAAAAATATCTTTTTATATTTATATTTTGGAGAAAAAAAAAAAAATTTATATAGGGGAAGTATTTTTTTTTTTTTTTTTACGCACGCGTCAAATACTTTCCAACAAATTTCATTAGAAAATAAAGATGTAACAAAGTTAAATTCACTCATCGCAAGATATATATATATGTATATACGTATCATCTATTTGGCACGAATTATTGTAACAGATATATTTCTTTTCTTTTTCCTCTTTTGTAACAATTATCCAACGTAAAAATGTTTTCTTCTTTCGACATTTGCGAACACTATGATAGAATACATTATGTGTTTTTTTTCTTTTTCTTTCATTTCGTTTTATTTGGATGCGCGTCAACTTTTTTTCTTAAGCAGTTTGTTGTTACGTCAACTACACAAATTTCTATCACACATTTATACATCGATATTGCGTACATTCACTCTTCGACGGTATATTATTTTTATTCCTCGGTAAAAAATCGCAAAGTGGTTTCGAACATATGCGCTTGCCAATATATCGTATAAATCACGTGAGTTTCGTGTGAAAAATTGCATATCGCATCCCGCGAGAAAAAGTAAGAAAAACGACAGATCTGTCGATACTGTTCATTGTTTCATCGAATTCGAACTTTCATCTCTACCTTTCTCGTCGTTGTTGCGCGATATATATTTACAGATCCACCCGTAATTCAAACTTTGGTTCACTGCGACGTTTGGTACGTTTTTATCTCATGAACGCAAGAATATATCGAAACTTTTCGGCGTTGTTATTTCAACTATCATTCACCAGTACTCGAATGCACATCGAATAAACAAATTGTTCAAATTGTTCAAAACTTTCGAAATAAAAACTTCTTTGAATGGACTCGCGTTTCGATATAACGCTCCGTCCATCGAGACGACTCGACACCCGATAAAAGCCGATCGTGTTTCGGCCATCTTCGACTACTTAACCGATGTTGGTCGAAGATAGCCGAAGCACGAGTGGCGTTAGATTCGACGTTCTCGATTGTTCCACGAGATATTCAGATATAAACACTCGAGTAGTTTGAATTAATAACCCTTTCAGTTTCGATATTATTCGAATATGACGAGTCGTATGGTAAACGATCGGTTTGAGAATCGTAGCGTGTTTTCGTATTCAGAGCGAACACGAGTGGAATAATATTTTTATGTACAGAATTTATGCAGACATCTTTCTCCCGTTTCGTCACGATACGATATTTTGTAACGAAACATACATACAAGGGACGGGAATGGGCTGGAAAGTTCCGAGCAAGCACACCTTTCAATCTATACGATATAAATTCCACGATCATTGAGTGTTCTTAAAAAATAAAAAAAAAAGGATCGTTTCAAAGAGACTCGACAATCTCTTAAGCAATGTTTATAACATTTAGGCTATTTTTTTTTTGGTGACGATCGTGAAATCGAATAAACTTGATCGACGTTCGATCGAAAATGTGACAAATTTCATTTTTAAGAGTCGATTAAATGGAAATGTGTTGTGTTTCAATGTAAACGCAGTTTTGCGAAATCTGCTCGAAATATCCACGTTATTATTATCACGTATGTATCGTTGTTCCCTCGAACGAATATTTCCACCGCAGAATCGTCGAAAGTGAACGGATGAAACATCAGAATAATGCATCGTTTGATCTCCTCGAAAACTCGACAGAAGTCTGGAAATTGGCTTCCCTCCCTTCTTTTGTGCTCTTGTTATCCTAAGAGTTTCAATCCACTTGCATCTCCCTTATCGTTCGGCAAAGAAAAGCCGAGGTTATTATACCAAATGTCTGAAACATAGAGGGACGTGATTAGATTTCAGAGACGGGTAAAATCTCCGAATAAATTCGATGGGATACGTACTTGTATCCCAGCCATCGCCATTCCCAGGAATACCAATGTGAAGCTCTCGCATTGCAGCCAACTTGTAACTTTGAGAAGGCAACCCTGTGAACGTGTTTACGCGATCAATTAAAATAAACAAGTAAAATCGAAAAGAATGTTTCAATTTATTGACTTTGCTCGAAAAATGAAAAAAAAAAAAAA